CAACCTAATGGACTAACAATACAAATTAGATAAGAGAAAGATTTCGGTTGGGGTGACCTCGGAGTACAAAAAACCTCCAAGTGACTCAACTCTAGGCCTACTAGCCTAAAGATACTTAAGTAGTCAACAATTGATCCAATCATGAAATTGATCAACGGACCAAGTTACCCTAGGGATAACAGCGCAATCCTATTTAAGAGTTCCTATCGACAATAGGGTTTACGACCTCGATGTTGGATCAGGACATCCAAATGGTGCAGCCGCTATTAATGGTTCGTTTGTTCAACGATTAAAGTCCTACGTGATCTGAGTTCAGACCGGAGTAATCCAGGTCGGTTTCTATCTATTAACAACTTCTCCTAGTACGAAAGGACCAGAGAAGTAAGGTCAACTATTCAATAGCACCTTTAACATAACATATGAAACTATCTAAATATACAAAATATGTGTTACCACCACCCAAGACAAGGGTTATTAGGTCTTATGAAGGAGCCCTATAACGATGGAGGGAACCCACTTCTCAGCCTCGTTTGTTCAACGATTAAAGTCCTACGTGATCTGAGTTCAGACCGGAGTAATCCAGGTCGGTTTCTATCTATTAACAGCTTCTCCTAGTACGAAAGGACCAGAGAAGTGGGGCCAACTATTCAATAGCACCCCAAACCTAACATATGAAACTATCTAAATATACAAAATATGTGTTACCACCACCCAAGACAAGGGTTATTAGGTCTTATGAAGGAGCCCTATAACGATGGAGGGAACCCACTTCTCAGCCCTCTTATAAAGGAGCCCTATAATGATGGAGGGAACCCACTTCTCAGCCCTCTTATAAAGGAGCCCTATAATGATGGAGGGAACCCACTTCTCAGCCCTCTTATGAAGGAGCCCTATAACGATGGAAGGAATCCCCTTTGTAGCTCCCTTATGAAGGAGCCCTTTCCAGATATCGTACCTGCAGGGATGCCCGACTTTCTTCATTAGCTCTTTCCTGTGCCACTTCTTTTTTCAGTAGATCTGACACATTAGTTAAATAGGTCAGCTTTCTGGGAGGGACTTTCAATGTTTGACACTGTTGTAGTAATCTTTAGAACAGAAGGAAACACAATTATGATTATTTTATTTATTTTTGAGTATCACCATTACTTTCGTTTTGAAAGTTTTCATTTTTTCCTGCTACCATCCTTGTAAGGGCTACAATTACTCTTATTAATCATGGCTAATTATGGTACGAGTTCTTCCCCAAACTGCTCTGACTCATCACCACTTAACTTTTCTTTTTTTGGTCTTTTTGAGACAGGGTCTCCCTGTAGCCCCAGCTGGCCTGGTACTTGGAACTCACTATGCAGAACCAGGCTAGCCTTGAATTCAGAGATCCGCCTGCCTCTGCCTCTGGAGTGTTGGGATTAACGGCGTGCCCCACCGCACCTGCACTACTTAACTTTTCAAATGATTAATATTTGTCTCAAATCACAAAGCCCAGAGGCTGCTTACTAGAATATTATCTAGTTTACTATGTTAGTATTTCTATTTTAAAATCGAGAGGTCCTTCCACTATTAAATACAGTTTTTATACTATGGCAGCACATAGTCAGTGTAGACTGTTGGGTAAGAGAGAATACTAGTGTAGGAGTCTCAACTATGACTCCTAACCCCAAATCTCAGTTTTAAAGCATTCAACCAAAAAAAGGTTAATCTAAATGTTTTCAAATAGAATGAATTTTTTAGTTTAAGGCATATTAAAGTGCTTTATTGTATAATTGACATGAATTATACTAAATAACCTAACTTAGAAATCTCTAAAATTTGGGTTGGTCACTAGTAGAAACGGATCTATTTTGCCTTTACTTCCAACAGAGTGTAAAATAACTTTCTCACATGTGACTGAGTTTTATGAAGAAATCAAGAATAAGAAAATTTCAACTGCATCTTCTGACAGCAAAATCTGTAGGTTCTAAAAACTTCTACTGTAAATTGAACACTCCAAAAAAGCTAAAATCTGAACAGCTCTAAAATCAGAACATTTTCAGGAGATAAAAACAACACCACAAGTGGAAAATTTACCATCATACAACTTTGACTCATGCAAAAAATCATTAATGTTGTCTAAGGGTGGACGAGATGGCTTAGCGGGTAAAGGCCTTTACCATGCAAGCCTGATGACCCAAGGTCAATCCCTGGAACTCACAGTTGGAGGAGAGAACCAACCCCAGAAAGTTGCCTTCGAACCTCCACATGCATGCTATAGCACATGCATGCCCCCGCCAAATAAAAATAAAGCTTAAAAAATACTGTATAAAATTAATTCAAGCTAAATGTATAAGATAAATAAATTTTGTGTTTAGATTTGGGTTTCACCTTTTGGATTTTATTTTCAAATTTCTTCAAATATAAAAGTAAGCCCAGATCTGAAGCATTTCTGGTTCCAAATATTTTGAGCTATGGATATCTGTACTTAAGATGTGAAAGTATTTGAGTAAAAGTGGAACTCAAGATTATCTTTCTGGGCTCATGTTCATAATTTTCTTTATAAAGGTTGGTAGTATAAACTCTACAAATAATTTTCATTAAACTGCTATAACAAACTTCAGTGAGCCACAAAATCATCACTTGACTACCGTAACAGGCACATCTGCCTATAAAATTTCCTGACATAACTTTTAGCTTTTATTAATGTAAAGACTGTAATTCTTCTGTTTACTAAATCAGTTATGTGGAAAGCTCCAGTGGAAAGCTCAATTTACTGTTCCTAATGCTCTAAATAGTGGTGAGATTTCTAAGAATTTCAAAAACTCTTATTAAACTATATAAAAGTATATTTTGAACATATGTTACTATATCAATAACATGTAATCACCATTTACTACACTGCTTCTAAAGGCAGTTTTTAAAAAACTCTGCAAAGGCTAACAGTTCTGTCTACCACCATTCTGTCTGCTGATGGGGGTAGGCCCACGACTCTGTTCCTATCAACCATGCAATAAAGTCAGTCCAAGGAACATTATGTCAGCAAGGCCAATCAGAGACCATCCCCAGAATTTCTAACTGAAGGTAAGGACTAAAGGATTTCATTTCGTCTTTCTTTATAAGGATGTCAGGGAGCTTCTCTGTCTGTAGTTTTATCTACTGTGAATGAAAAGAAGCACTTAGGAAACTCAGGCAGGATGAGCAAGAACTTGAGGTCAGCCTGGACTACATCCTGAGGCTATGCCTCAAAAACAAAACAAAGAAACTAAAAGAATAAAGGCAATATGCCAAGAAAAGAAGATGTTAGACTAATGAACGCAAATGAGTTCCTGGGGTAAATATCAATATGGGAGATACTAGGCTAAACAAAATTAAATAATTCATTCTAATGTATTAGAATAAATTGGGTACTACTGTACCTAACATAATTTACCAGTTCGCTTTCATTTATACAGTATCCTTAAGAACAAGTTTTTCAAATATGTTTGAAAAATGCTGCTAAAGAAAAAAATGTACTTAACATTCCAATTAGAATTTGATGACCCTTGATGCATACTCTGATATATTAGAAGTACAATCGCCTTGTGTATGACCATTTTGCTAACTAAAGAATTATGACTTGCATGTGTGGAAGCCTGAGGTCACCCATAGGAATTGTTCCTCGGGTATCAGCTACATCGGTTTTGGGGACAGGAGGCTCACTATTAGGCCAGGCTGGCTGGCCGATGAATTCCCAGGATCCTCCTGTCTCTGGGTCCTCAGCCCTGGGATTATAAGCCTGGCTTTTTTCCATAGGTTCTGGGAATTGAACTCAGGTTCTTATGCTTATGCAGCAAGCACTTTACCAACTGAGTATCTCCACATCCCTTAATTCTACACTCTGCATGTAAGAGGAAAACACAGAGTCTGTCTACACATTTACGCATTGATCTATGTGTAGATCAAGAAACTAGAAAAGGGATCCTGAGCACAGAAGAGATCTTGTGGTGGGTGGGGGGGGCACGTATTAGAATACATGTGATAAGAAAGCAAAGTGGGAGCAGGGAAGTGAGCAAGTCAGAGGGTTAGCAGGGTGACAAGACAACAAATGGCAACAAAACATAATGACACAAACGTATGAAGAAGCCATAATGAAGTCCACCACTGTGATATGCAGACCTAAAATATCAGTAGTTAAAAAGCTATGAAAGTAAGAATAGGGAGGAAAAAGGTAAGCGCTGCATAAGTTCCATGTGCTGAAGAGGCTGCCCACATGTTGAATATTATCTTTCCTGATAACCCAGGTAATCACTCTGACGGCCACCACTATGAAATATTATCTGTCAGACACCAAAGCTATTTGTCCTATATTAAAACAGACTACAGTTATATTAGATTATTTTTTATCTTCTTGATAGCTTTACTGTTTTTTAATAGGCTATAATGCTTATAGTTTATGAACAAACTTTTAGAAATTCTTTAATGTGCCCACCTCTCAACAAACTCCCACCTGATGCCATTTTCTATTTTGCTATTATGAGTTGGGAATCATACTTGAAGGAAAAGTAAACAGAATTGTGTTCAAGGACTCCTCACAAGAGAAGTGCTCGGTCACAAACATTTCAGGCAAACCTGAAACTAAAAAGTAAAGCATTCTTTTATGGTAAGAAAATGGTGTGGAGATGCTAGAGAAAAGTAATCCCTGAAAATTACGGATGATGGTGTGGATTTTAGGAGCATTTGAAAAGCAACCTCTGTTAGTGATTTGCCACAGATGAAGAGCAACAATTGTCTGAAAAATCACACTTGTTGCTTGTGTAAGTAGTTATGTAATACAACGTGAGGCGAAGGAAAAGCACAGGAAACAACGGCAGGCTAAGCAGCAGCAATAGGAGCAGCAGACTAACAGAGAGCTGTTACTTTACATTGTTAGAAATAAAGTTTAAGGGACTTAAAGTTGAAAAATATTTTTGAAATACTGACACAGAGCACAGAAAAGTGAAATATGCCAATAAAAGTTATATGGTGGTCACATTCTTTTGCATAAATCTTCTGAAAGGTAAGTTAATTAAGCATACAAATTGCAACAAATATAGATTTTTAAACTGCTCACTTTCTTAAGAAACAATAATAAAATGTGCAGTATACAAATATCTACTTCAGAACATGGGAACAAACATTTTAAAAATAAATATAATTTAATCATTTTCAATTGTATATTACCTTTTCTTCAAGTAGTTGAGATGGTATTGAATTTGTTCTTTTTCCTTAATGCTATTGCTTAAAATTGCTCTGGGTGAAAAAAGGGAGACTGAATAAATATTACTATAAAACACTCACTAGCCAGGCAGAGTAAGTCACCTTTCCTTTATAGGAAGTACATTTTAAAACATCATAACTTATCCTTAATTGACATTCATTCATATGAGATTTTTGTTTAGTATTGTATATCTATGTTTTTATTATTGTTCTGGTAACTATAGTGGGTTTCACTGACATTTTCATACATACATAATTTGATTTCCTCTATTACTCACAGAACAATGAAGCACTCTTGTCTTTTCGGTTGTGAGCCCGAGCCTTTAACAGCCACACCAGCTCTCCAGCCCATAAACAATGAAGTACTTTTGAACTATACGGTATTGTAATAATTCATACGCCTGATTCTTCTGAAGCAGTTCAGTTCTACCATGGCAGACTTTTGCTGCATTTTCTTTGTATCTCCTGTAGTATGGTAGCGTCTATAGTGTTTTTTGAACTCGAATTCTTCTAAAGAATCATATTGACAGAATTAAGCTTTTTAAATTAAAAATATTTTTATTTTATGTGTATGAGTGTATTGCCTGCATGTATGTAAGTGTACCCAAGTCATGCAATGCTGAGGAGGTCAGAAGGGGGCATTGTATCCTCTGGAACTAGAGTTAAGGGTGGTTATTACCCACAATGTAGAGCTGGGATTTGAACCTGGGTCCTCTGTAAGAGCAGCCAGTGCTCTTAACCACTGAGCCATCTCTCTAGCCCCCATAATTAAAAATTTTATTGACAACATTTCAGTCCACATAGACTGGTTTTTATCTTAATAATAGAGTCCTAAATTTCTACAATTAAGAAAAAAATTTTTTGATAAAGGCTAATGCCCATCACACATCACTGAACTTAAAAGAGTTATTACACTTTATATTTGACTTATCTGCAACTGGCACATGTGTGAATGCTTGGTCTCCAGTTGTTGGAGCTATTTTTGGGAGGTGGTGAAAATTTTAAGAAGTAGGGCTTGGCTGAAGGATGGACGGGTCTGGGGGTGGGGGGTACACTGTTACAGGGAACCATTGGCCCTGGTTCCTGGCTTGTGCTCTGCTTCCTGCAAGCCATGATGTAAACAGCCTTTGCCTCCCGGTCCCACTGCCATGGTGCTCTGCTTCACAATGAGTCAGAATCAACAGAGCCAAGGACTACAGACTGAACCTTCTGACACTGTGAGCCAAGATCAACCATTTTCCTTGTAAGTTGTTTATGTTAGGCAATCTGTCACCACTCCTAAAAAGTAATAATATAAATATGTAGGAACAGAGAAAAATGTCTGCAGTAAACACCTAAGAGGAGTCAAAAGAGTTGAAAAGGAAAATGTTTAAACTCACAGTATTACTGATTCCATCATATTTTGCAAATGCTCTCTAGTATTCTTTGGAAGAGGTTGCCAAGTTGTTCTCTTGCTGGATGCTATTTTTATCTGTTTTAGTTTAATATGCTTTGCTTGTTCTATTCCTGGTGATACAGGAGAGATTCCAATCAATTCAGAAGTTTGCATATTTTTACTTACAAGTGACTTAAATCTAAAGAATATTAGTGGCATTATGAGATTAAAATACTATACTATTTAACTCACATCAGTATTAATGATGAATCTGCTACCCATTGTGATAGTAAATACAAATGCTTTTAAATGAAGAAGCAAGCTATAATTCTTAAAATTTGCTTTTAAAAAATAGTTTGTAGGCCAGACGTGGTGGTGCATACCTTTAATCCTAGCACTTGGGAGGCAGAGGCAGGCGGATCTCTGTTCAAGGCCAGCCTGGTCAACATAGTGAGGTCCCGGACAGCTGGAGCTACAGGGAGACCCTGTCTCAAAAAGACCAAAAAAAAAAAGTTTGTATTCCTTAAGAGTTTCAATAAAAAAAATCTGGAAAGCTATCAGTATCAAATATTGGAACACCAAAGATTGATCAAACTACATATAGACATGGAGTGGCAATTGCAGGTACTTTTTTCTACTTACAAGGAATAAACAAACAGCACAGGAGTGGCTTTCATGACGACAAGCTTAGGAAAGAAGGGATATTAAATATTGCAGGTGTGCAGAGCATTGCAAAAGGAAAAAGCGCTACACTGCAGAAGTATAAACCAGAACCCAATCTAGGCTGAGGAGGGGTAAGGAATCTTCTCATAAAGAAATGATGAATAAGAAAAACAAAACTACTCGAAACTAATTACTTAGAAAAACTTAGACAGTGGTTCCAAATTAGTCTATCCAGTACCAGCAGGACAGAAAGCACAGGAGCCTTGAATCTTTGTATCACAGATGAGTAGTTCAGAGTGGGAGTAATTTTTTTCTTTTTGAGACAAGGTCTCCTTGTAGACACAGCTGGCCTGGAACTCACTATGTAGACCAGGCTGGCTCAAACTCTCAGAGATCCATCTGTCTCTGCCTCCCAAGTGGTAGGATTAAGGTGTGCACCACCATGCCCAGCTAAGGGAACAATTTTTTTCTAGTTCCTATCAACGTGGCGTATAAATACATAGGGTGGCACACAGTATTTGCTAGAAGTGTCAAATAATATTTGGTCAATCAAATCATAACCAAAGATGTGACTGGCTGTTTATGAGCACCTTTTGCTTTAGCTGAACTCATAAACCAGATGATGAACATAGGGAGCTTGTGAAGACACATCAAACAAGAGAGAACAGCAATACCTTCAGAGGATGGGAGCTTTGGAAAACGCTTGTTTCTTTTAGCAGTGTTTCGAACCTAGAGACACACACACACAGAATTAAAGAGCCAATAAAAAAAGTTTTTGCAACACAGTATTCATGTATATTTAAGAGTATTCATATATAATGCTATTTCTACAGATCTGGTATATAAGCAGAGAATATACTAAGGTATATGATATCAATTATGGTTTGTAGTAAAACTTATTTTTGGTTTGTTTTCTGAAACAGGACCTCCCTATAGCCTTGGTTAGCCTGTAATTCTTTATGTAGACCAGGCAGGCCTGGATCTCACAGAGCTCTGCCTGCCTCTATCTCCTAAGTGCTGGGACTGAAGGTATGTGCCACCTCACCCTGCCCTTAGAACATATAACTTCATAACTTCAGGGGTGAGGATGTAACACTGATCTTTACCTAGTCTTCCATTAAGAGAATAGATAATTCTAATGAAAGAGACCTAAAATGACAGATCTGTTATTTTTATTACCTCATTCTCTGCTAACTCCACTTCCTCATCAATTCTTCTTTTTGAAATTCTTTTAACCTTTTGAGTCTTTTTCTTGGAAGCATTTGCTTTACCAGACATTTTGATCTGATAGTACAATCATATAATGTATAAAAATCTGCAAAGGTGAAAAGAACAGAGAAAAATGATAAAGACTTGTACGTTTTATTGAAAAAGACTACATATAATTGTTCCAAATTCTCTTTTCAAATTTGGGAAAATTATTTTATGTTTTCAATACATTTAAACACTTTTATTTTTATTTTGAAACAGAGTCTCCCTGTAGCCCCTGCTGGCCTCAAACTTGCCATGTAGACCCAGCTGGCCTCAATCTCAGAGATCCCCTGCCTCTGCATCCCAAGTGCTGGGATTAAAGGTGTGTGCCAACAGGCCCAGCCCTTAAACATTTTAAAAATATTTTTTAATTTATTTTTTATTTTCTTTACGTATATGAATGTTATGCCTGCATGTATGTAAGTGCACCTGTGTTGTACAGTGCCTGCGGCAGACAGAAGAGGGCATTGGATCCTGTGTGGCTAGCTGCTATGTAGTTGCTGGGATTTGAATCCAGGTCTTCTGCAAGAGCAGCCAATGCTTTTAACCGCTGAGCCATCTCTCCAACCCTACTTAAACATATTTTAAAACAAATAACTTTGGGGGTGGGGATGTAGATCAGTTGGCAGAATGCTTATGTAGACTGTAGGAAACCCCGGGTTCAATCCCCAGCACTGCATAAACCTTAGTGGTACATGCCTTAATCCTAGTACTCATAAGGTGGAAGCAGGAAGATCATAAATTCAAGGCTATCTTCAGTCACAGAGTTTAAGGTCAGCCTGAGACATGATTTGTGAGACTCTGTCTCAAAACCAAGAAACTTTGGTGCTTTATACAAGGATACTAAATTTAATTTCATGCCTCCAAACAGCTTCCACTGGGGGTTGGAGAGATGGCTTAGTGGGTAAGAGCACTTGCAAAAGAAGAGCTTCTTTGATGAGTGGTGACTGGCATACTTGTCTATAAATATAAGGATCCACATTTAGCATATGGTGTCACATCTAGGGATGTGACAGCCTTAGGGTTTTCTTAAGATTTATGACCTCTCCAGTCATGTGTATTTGGCTATGTTCAGTGTCACATGAGTAGAATCTCTACACCTACGGTTCCCTGAACATAGTGGAACAAGGGGTAGAGAGAATACTAATGCATCGCTCAACTCTTATCAACAAAATTCCCCAACAGAGGGTGATGAACACAAAAGGCCACAAATGGCCCAAGTGTAGAAATTAAGAGTCTGCAGAGTGTGGGTCCCTGTTAAACTTCACCCACCCAGGGTTCAGGGACCATTGTGGAAGAGAGGGCAGAAAGATTTTAAGAACCAGGGGAGGAGGTACATGACCATATGGTAACAGTCTTACAGGCTCCTGGACTCATATGAATAGACAGCAATGGTGTCAGCATGCACAAGACCCATACAAACAGACAAAAACCCAGCGTACAACTGGGGAAATGGGCATCAGGGCCCAATCTTAGTGGAAGAAGAATATTGGCAGGTGATTACTGCAGGGTGATGGAGAGTTGATTGTTAAGGGAGTGACTCCATATAGGCTGACTAGACCCCAGTGTGTGTGTGTGGAGGGGATATGTATCTAATTTAACTCAATAGGCTGTAACATATAGGACAGAATGCATGAAATTTCGTGGTAGTGGTGGTGGGGCTATCAGGGAGTGTGGATGGGGGAGGGGGTATAAAGATGACTAAGATGTTTTGTGTGAAATGCAAATCAATAAAAATTTACATTAAAAGGTGGGATCAGTAGCCGGGCGAGGCACCCCCTTTTTTGTTTTCCTTACCTGTTTGCTGAAACGTGAAGACCAAGTTATCTCAGTTTAGACTTCCATCTAAATACACGTAAGCAAGGACTTGTCTGGAACTCGGTTGAAACTCATTTGCAAGGCTGCCCTTTGCTTCAGGACTGGCTACAAAGAGAGATTCAGAAATGAGGATGGGGAGGGTCTCGGGAAATAGGGAGGAATAGTGAATGACTTCACTGCTCCGTTGTCCTACAGGAAGACCCTGTCTCAAAAAGACAGACACACACACACACTCACCTCACTTTCCTTAAAGACAAGCGAAGGCGTTTATCTGAAAGTCGAGAGGCTCAAAACTCACCCTCCCGGACCCACCAGCACTTGAAGCGCTTTCTCGACTCACCACTGAGCGTTTCAGAAGCGTCGCTCCCTCTTTTCGCGCCCAAGGGTTTGAAAACCCGGGAAACGAGGAAGTAGCTTTGAAGAAGGCGGAAGCGCTCGTAGCGGGAGGCGGGCCCGCAGCCATTTGATACGTCATCAATAACGCGCCCGGCCTAGAGACGTTGGATTGGCTGGACGAAGCGAGGTGTCGGCTACGCCCCCCGATGGGATTGGCTGAGCTCCGGGGGCGCGGCGCTTCCATCTGCGGGAGTTGGTGACCCTCGGGGCTCCGGGGCTACGCGGGGGCTGCCCGGCTCCGCCCTCCGAGCGGCTGTAAGTAGGCCCGAGCGCTGTGCTGCGCGCCGGGCTGCAGGGAGCCCCTTTGGGCTCATCCCGTCTCCTGCCTTCGCGCCTCCGCCTCATCTCCCTTCAAGCTTTGGCAGGACCTCTCTCTCCTCTGCTTTCTTCCGAGGTCCCCACTGACTTGTCACTCTGGTAGGTCCTCGGGAGTTCCGGGGTTCCAGGGAAGTGCTTCCTGACAGCCAGGCGGGCATGTTGCCGTCTTCCCTGCGGGGCCGAGGTCACCTCTAGTAAGATACGGGAGTGGTCGCGAGTAAGAGAAGCAGAAGGAAACGCAGGTTTAAGTTGACGGAAAAGTGTGCTTTCGGGGAGACGGCCCAGCTGTTAAGAGCACTGGCTGTCCTCGCCGAAGACCCGGGTTCGGTTCCCAGCATCCACAGGGGAGCTCGGTCTTCTGTAACTCCAGTTCCCGGCAATCAGACGCCCTCTTCTGTCCTCCGTGGGCATTGCACAACCCGGGTGCACGTAGGTACAAGCAGCAAGTAACACTCATACAGATAAATAAAAGTAATGAAAAAGTGTAGTGTGCATTTCTACCTTATGAGTTTTGTTGTTCAGGAGCCTGAGGCCCCGAACATAACATACACCTGTGAACTTTTAAGCTACTTGCTGGTTATCTTCCAACATACTTTAGTGTTTAATGATTCATTTAAATCAATATTGTTCTCCATGATCTGGGTTGCCCCTCCTTTCCGAATTGGACAGGGGAGGTGACTAGCTTGTCTTGAAGTATTAATATGGAAGGACATGTAAACGGTTCAACTTTTATTTATTTTTCTGAATTATTTTTTCTTGGGATTATTTTTTGGAGTGTTGAGAATGGCCTTTATTATTTCATGTCAACAGAATCTTATCAGTAACAAATACACCTTACATGTCGCTGCTTTGAATGCTTGAAGCCTCTTTGATGGGTCTTCAAAGGAAATTTAGAATTCTCTCATCAACAGTACTGTTAGCTTAAAAAGCAGTTTTTAGCCTTCAGGAATTTGGCCTTTGATTTTTCCGAAGTCCTTTATATAGGGCTCTTTTCTACCGTTTATCCAGTTTGAAGGAAAGGTTTGTTAGAATTTTGTTAGAAATGGTGTAGCCAGGAAATGACTTATCCATTCTTTTGAAGAGCATGAACTACCAGCTGGCTGGGAAGAAGGGTGGAGCCAAGCTGCTCAGGCTTTTTAGCATATGCAGTGAAATTTTGGTATGCTAGTATTTCTAGAACATGCAGTGTGTAGATGACAAGGGCAGAAATAAGTTTGGCAGATGAGCAAAGACCAGGTCGTGGAAACTTTGAATATTTGTTTTATTTACTGTCTTTTCTCCATCCACCAGTGTAATGCCTACTATAGACTAAACGTTATAGGAACACATTTTGAATGAAAATTAATTGGGACACTGTATCACATCTTTGACGTGATGTAGAACTGTTCTGGGCAGTGTTGATTAGTCAGATTTGCACAGGTGCTAGTATAAAATGGACTGCATTGGGACTGAGACTGGTTAGTAAGGCCAACTAAGTAGCTGTGGAGGAAGAAGTCTGCACTTGGGACAATAGTGTCCCAGTGAAAAACAAGGACAAACAGCCTGTAATGTCAGCTGCTGAGAGCACAGTGGAAAAGATGAAAGAATACTAAGTAGTGTCCCAGTGAAAAACAAGGACAAACGGCCTGTAATGTCACGGCCTGTAATGTCAGCTGCTGAGAGCACAGTGGAAAAGATGAAAGAATACTAATATGCTATCTTCCTTTTTCCCCTCTTCACAAGAAGCTCTCATTTTGCTTCTCACTTCTAAATGTATATATATTGCTTTCTCTTCTTTTCTACTCCCTAGGTCAGTTTTCATTGCCCTTTGGGAATTTCCATGCTTCACCATGTTGAGAGCTAAGAATCAGCTTTTTCCTTTCTCACTCCATTACCTGAAGCAGCTAAAAGATTCATCAGCCTCCAGGTTCACATGGCAACGGCTTCTACATCAGCAGCAACCCCTTCACCCAGAATGGGCTGTGCTGGCCAAAAAACAGCTGAAAGGCAAAAACCCAGAAGACTTAATATGGCACACCCCAGAAGGGATCTCTATAAAGCCCTTGTATTCCAAGGCAGATACAAAGGACTTACCTGAGGAACTTCCAGGAGTGAAGCCATTCACACGCGGACCGTATCCCACCATGTATACTTACAGACCCTGGACCATCCGCCAGTATGCAGGCTTTAGTACTGTGGAAGAAAGCAATAAATTCTATAAGGACAATATTAAGGGTGAGATTTTACTGCGAGGCGTGATGTTTATGATACCTCCTATTCTTAGCTTTTGGAGCAGAGGCCAGCTCATCTCTGTAAATACCACATTCACTTTGTACTGCAGAACTATTCACTGTGAAAAAAATGGATGTCTTTCAGATTTCATGCCTAAAGAGGCATGAGTCAAGGCAGAGGGAGAAATTCTTGGAGGCACACCACAGTTCTGTGGGTGTCATATAAAGAAACGAGGTGAGGTTGTGTGACCGCGAGAGAGAAAGGGCTCTTTTTTTGGAGAGTTTTTACCTAATCCTGTTAGGATAAGAATTGGAGGGAAAGAAAGCCTGAATGATGCCCAGAAAGTGATATGTGGTAAGGTGATAATTATGTATTTAGTGACATCTGTCATTCATTCTTGGAAAATTATTATCTACTGTTTCTAATGCATAATAAAATTTTATTGTTGAGTGCTAAACTTGACAGTTTCTAGGTATATATTGCTTATGGGGGGACTGTGTTTATAGTCAATGTAGACTATGTTGTTTGAAATTTTGCATGGGACTGTGGATGTAGCTGAGTGGTAGAGTGCTTGCCTGCCATGCCAAGGCCCCGGATTTCATCCCCAGTTCCATTAAAAACAACAAACAACGATTCCTTTTGGGGTATTTTCTGAATATTTGAATAGCAAAGATATAACTGGTAAAGAATTTTTTAAAAAGTGTACATATGCTAAATTGCATTAATTATGTGTGATCAGCTAGTTTCAAGAGTTTTTAGAATATCTTCATCAAAACTTTAGATAAGAAAAAATTAACAAAAATAATATGCTGCATGAGCATAAGCAACAAGTCCTTGGGCAAACATGAGATAAATGAAAGATGAGTTTCTTCTATTATTTCTCACATTGAGATTCAACTCTCAGTTTGTGTCTCAGCACAGTAGAAACAGCTGATTCCTAGGAACTGTTTTTCAAATTTGTTTCCTGTCTGAGCATGGACCTGTTATAAGTGTACTATGATGAGATGAATCTGCTTTCAGTCATTTTAGAATAAACCATTTTACTTTGATGCCAGACTCTAATACAGCGTATTTTTTTTATGTGTCTAGCTGGTCAGCAGGGGTTGTCCGTCGCCTTTGATTTGGCTACACATCGTGGCTATGACTCAGACAACCCTCGAGTTCGTGGTGATGTTGGAATGGCGGGAGTTGCCATCGACACTGTGGAAGACACCAAAATTCTATTTGATGGGATTCCTTTAGAAAAAATGTCAGTTTCTATGACAATGAATGGAGCAGTTATTCCAGTGCTTGCAAATTTTATAGTAACTGGGGAAGAGCAAGGTGTGCCCAAAGAGAAGCTTACTGGCACTATTCAAAATGATATATTAAAGGAATTTATGGTCAGAAATACTTACATTTTTCCTCCAGAACCATCCATGAAAATTATTGCTGATATCTTCCAGTATACAGCACAGGTATGCTTTACTATTATACATTAAAAAATGTAATTAAAATTTTTTTATTTTATGTGTACGAATGTTTTGCCTCCATGTATGTAAGTGTAGTACATATGTGCCTGGTGTCCTCAGAGGCCAGAAGAGGGCATCAGATCCTCTGGAATCCTGGAACTGGAGTTAAGGATGCCTGTTAGCCACCACTTGGGTGCTGGGAATCAAACCTGGGTCCTCTGCAAGAGTGGTAAGTACTCTTAACTGCTGAGCCATCTCTCTACCCCTACTGTTAGATTTTGCTATAGTTTGTATGGATTTTTCACAGAGTGCTATAAATTGACTTTAGTAACTGAGTCTGAGTCAGCATATTTTACAGTTAGCTTTTAGGGATTTTTTGTCTTTAATAATGTAGGAATTTTATGGTCTGTCATTACCTAAACAGTGTGCCATTTACTGGTTTTTTAAAAACTTTTTTTATTAATGTAGTTGTCTGGCAGAATTAGGGAAGTCTCATGGTTTATACTTCTTTAGTTCCATGTAGAATTGAAGTGGAGTTTTGGTACACACTGGTGTCAGGTGGGTGAGCATCGGAGTATCAGGCTCATTTCTGCCACAAGCTGGGTTGTTGGACAGTCTGTGTGTCTGCAGCCTTGGTGAAGTCCCTCATGTCACCCTGAATTAGATACATCTTCCTCAGGCAGGTCTGTGGGAGAAGAGGGTTCCCGTGGTGTTGCTATAGAAGCCGTATTCCCTTCACAGGGAACTGTTTCCTTCCTTCGTTTTCCTCTGAGCAATTCATACATTTCCCCTGTGATTCACACTTTGCTTCTTCTCACTTAAAAGTTTTTAATGGCAAAGAGAAACTCTCTTTTGCATCAAACATTTTAAAAATCTTACTTACCTTTTGTATTTGGTTATATCAGAAATTATGTATTTCCTGTATCCCACATTTGATATTTAAGCCTTTATAGTTTTGAAAAAGTAGTTTCATGTTTTGTGTCTGCTCAAGTTAATTGTGTGTGCATGTGCGTGTTGTGTAATTGTGTGGTGTATAATTGTGTTTTTCTACCAAATTTTTAGATTTCCAAGACATATACTGGAAGGCTGTATTTATCAACATGTCACACAAACATAAATAGCAATAGCTTAACCTAACTAGAGGTCAATTCTGTTTGCTCTCCAGCAGTCAGAAGGTAGGCTGTGAGGGGTTTGCTCACAGGAGCTGTGGTCACCTGACTCCAGGTCCTTTTTTCTTGTTTCTGCTTTCTTTTAAAGAGTATCAGCTTGAAGTAAACCCAGTGTGGAGGGAGGGAGCTACCCAGCTCCTAAATGCTAAGTGTCCTTCTAGAGGAAAGCAGCAAACTCCTACTTGTATCTCAGTGGATACACAACAGTAAGGAGGGTGGGAGTGTAGGGCTTAAATTGTGGCACTCTAAATTTATGATTTGGCTGTCAGGAAGAAGGTGAACAATGGTTACTGGTGTAGATAATATCAGTCTGTGCTTTTAAGAAATATTATTTTTTATTTTATGTGTATGAGTCTATTATCTGCATGTAAGTGAATGCACCCATGTTGTACAGTGCCCATGGAGGTCAGAAGAAAGTGTCCAATTCCCTGGAACTGGAGTTACAGATGGTTGTTAGCCACCACGTGGATGCTAACTGAACCAGAGTCTTCTACAAGAGCAGCCAGTGCCCTTAACCACTGAGCCATCTCTCCAGCTCCCAGTCTATGCTTTTATATCTTTCTGTATATCTTTTCACCTTATAAAAGAGCCTAATGTTATTCAAAAGTTCAGAATTGCTTTATATCATCCTTCCTGTAAGACAACATTCCAAATTTGAATTCTGATCAGTCTTCTTTGATATAAACTGTGAACTTTTTTTTTTTGGTCTTTTTGAGACAGGGTCTCCCAGTATGCCTGGAACTTCCTCTGTAGACCATGTTAGCCTTGAGCTCTCAGAGATCTGCCTGCCTCTGCCTCCCAAGTGCTGGGATTAAAGGCATGCACCACCAGGCCTGGCAACTTTTGTATTTTTTAAGAGAATTCTTAATTTTGAGAAAATGTACATATCATAGTATTAACCTCCTAACTACTTTCTTTTTGGAGACACATGGCCTAGAACTCTCTATATAGACCAGGGTGGTCTCTAGCTCACCAAGATCCACCTGCCTCTGCCTACTCAGTGTAGGAATTAAAGGCTCATGCCACCACACCTAGCTTTCTTAACCACTTCTAAGGGTACAGTTGAATGGCATTGAGTGCACTCACATTGTTGTGTAACCATAACCACCACCCATCTCTACTCTTAATTTTAAAAAAGTGAAACTTTATTCAACAGAAAATTCCCATTCTCTCCTCCTCTTCAGCTGTTAAAAACCAGCTTCTGAAAATTTGATTACCTTAGATAGCACATATAAGTAGGATCATGCAGTCTCTCTCTCTCTCTCTCTCTCTCTCTCTCTCTCTCTCTCTCTCTTCCCCCTCTCTCTCCCTCTCCCTCTCCTTCTCCCTCTCTCCCTCCCTCCCTTCCTCTCCCTCTCCCTCTCCCTCTCCCTCTCCCTCTTTCTCCCCCCTCTCTTTTTCTGCATAGGCTTATTTTATTGATCATAGTGTTACCATTGTCCGTTTTACTGTATGTCAGAATTTTCTTTTTAGGTGTGAATAGTACTGTATTCTGCTCATATTTCTGTTATGTTAAAGTTCTGTCAGTAAACTCTGCATAGTGAAGTATCTGCTTCTTCACTTCATGTATGTAAACTTCAAATATATACTTATTTTCTCAATTCCATGTAATTGTATCCCCTTATTGATTTTGTAATAGAATATATTTGTGGAACTGTGGGTCAGTTATAAATAAAATACTTGAAAATGTAAAACACAACTATATTTTTGGTACAATATATAAGAATGTGTTTATGTGTGGTACATGTATGCATGGTACTTTTTGTTTGTGTGTTTTTGTTTTTTTTAAATATAGTCTTTTAGACGGGCATGGTGGCACATGCCTTTAATCCCAGCACTTGGGAGGCAGAGGCAGGCAGATCTTTGTGAGTTCTAGGCTAGCCTGGTCTACATAGTGAGTTCCAGGACAGCTGGGGCTACAAGGAGACCCTGTCTCAAAAAAAGCCAAAAAAAAAAAAAGTTAAAATACGGTCTTTCTGTAGCCCCAGCTGGCCTGGCACTCTGTGTAGACCAGGCTGGCCTGGATCTCACATAGTGCTGGGATTAAAGGTGTGCCAACATGCCCAGCTTGGTATGTTTAATTTATACCATATGTTAGCAATGTCAGCTAACTTTTTAAAAAAAAATTTGAGAGACAGGGTGTCCCTGTAACACCAGCTGGCCGGGAACTCTTTATGTAGACCAGACTGGTTTCCATTTCGTTGAACTCCACCTGCCTCTACCTCCTGAGTGCTGGGATTACAGGTATACGCCACCATGCCCAGATTCAACTAACATTTTTGAGTGCTTAGTATATGCTGTGATAATACTAAGTGATTTAGATGAATCGTTTAACCTTAATTCCACAAGGAAGGTACAATTTTTATTCATCTGTGTCATGCAGTGTCTGTGGAGGTCTTAGGAGGGCATTGGATCCCCTGGAACTGGAATTGCCTATTATTGTTAGCTGCCATGTGGGTGCTGGGAACTGAAACTGGGTCCTCTACAATAATAGCCATTGCTCTTAACCACTGAGCCACCTCTCTAGTCCACTTTCTTCTTTTTTAAGCTATGCATTTTATCTCATTTTGCTTCAAAATACAGTACTAAGCATGAAATCAGTTTTGTCTACTCAGTATATATTCATGTTTGATACTTTCATTCAAATAAGAAAATAGTGTAATTAGTATGGAATTTTTGCATATTCAACATAGAAGGCAAAATAGGGCTTTATGAAGTCTTCTAAGGTTAGAATATTAGTTTGGAATTAAAGAAATCATCTTTTGGCTCGTCTAAAGGAGGATGACCAGTGCAGCTGTTTCCACTAAAAAATAAGCAGATTTTTAAATGTAACAAATATTAATATTTTCAGTTAAGATTATAAACTACCAAGTATATCTGAGTTGAGCTGCGCACACCTTTAGGCCCAGCACTTGGGAGCAGAGGCAGGTGGCTCGCTGTGAGTTCAAGGCCAGCCTGTGCTATATAGTGAGTTCAGGTCAGCTGGGACTACAGGGAGATCCTGTCTCAAAAAGACAAACACACACACACACACAAATATCTATATCTATATCTATATCTATATCTATATCTATATCTATATATATCTATATAATATCTATATATATCTATATATCTATATATCTATATATATTTACTTTTTTATTGGGCTTTTGGCTACTCTTAACATTCCTCCCTCTGAAGAGGTAATCCTAAAAAAGTAAATAAATCAAAGAAGAAGAAAGCGTACACGAAGTTATCAGAAAAAAGTGATGGGGAGATATGGGAGGAGTTGGAGGGGAGGGAGTGGGCATGGATTTGATCAAAACACTTTATATGCATATATAAAATTCTCAATAAATTATTTATTTAAAAAATACCATTTTTGTAAACTAGAACCTTTCCATATTTTTATTCATTGTTGTATTTTGTTATTTTATATAGCACATGCCAAAATTTAATTCCATTTCGATCAGCGGGTACCACATGCAGGAGGCAGGAGCTGACGCCATTCTGGAGCTGGCCTACACCATTGCAGATGGGTTGGAGTACTGCAGAACTGGACTTCAAGCTGGCCTAACAATTGATGAATTTGCACCAAGGTGAGTTAAGTAAACTTAGATATATTCTCATTAAAAATACATAGGGCCATTTTATGCCTGGTCAGCAAAATACACTGATAAAAATAAGCTTGTAAAGAAAAATGCCATGCTAGATTTAGATTGTTTCATATTTTATCTGAGTGAGAAGTAGAGAATAAGCCAATATTATCTATAATAAAAATCAGGATTTCTTTAGCCGGGTGTGGTAACACTCTTGAATCCTATCACTTGGGAGGCAGAGGCAGGTAGATTTCTGAGTTCAAGGCCAACCAGTGTCCATAGAGAGTAACAGGCCAGCTGGGACTACAGGGAGACTCTTGTCTCAAAGAGACCAAAAAAAAAAAAAAAAAAATGGAGGCTGGAGAGATAGCTCAGCAGTTAAGAACACTGAACGTTCTCACAGAGGACCTGGGTTTGAATCCCAGCATCCACATGGCGGCTAACAACCATCCATAACTACAGTTCCAGGGAATCCAATGCCAGCTTCTGTCCTCTGTGGGCACTGCATGACACAGATGCACTTACATACATGCTGGCATAACACTCATACACATAAAATAAAAATAATAAATAACTTTTTTTTTAAAGAAACTGGTTCTGTCACTGACCTTTGCCTCTGGTTCTGTGTTAAGTATTAGAAGAAAGGCTCAAAGAGGGAAAAATATATAGGAAATACAAACACTCCAGCAAAATATGAGAGTGGAGAGATTGCTCAGCAGTTAATAGCACTGACTGCTCTTGCAGAGGACCCAGGTTTGGTTCCTAATACCCACATGGTGGTTAGTAAGTTCCAGGGGATCCTATACCTTCTTCTGACCTCTGCGGGCATTACATGACATGGGTGCACTTACACACAAACAAGCACAAACAAGCAATACGCTCATACACATAAAATAAGAATAATAAATAAAATTTTAAAAAGATTTCAACTGTCTTCTTTTAAGGCACACATTCAGGAGATGCACAAAATGTAAAACAGGGCTGGGGAAATGACTCAGTAAGTGTTTGCAGAAGACCTGAGTTCAGTCCCCACAACCCATATAATAAAGGTGGTGGTAATGCTTGTAATTTCAGTCCTGGGGAGGCAGAGATGGGTGGATCCCTGGGGTTTACTGCTTGGCTCTTTCAGCCTCCTTCATGAGCTCTAACTCAGTGGGAGACCCTGTCTCAAAAATAAGCAACAACAACAGTAACACAAAGTTGGAAGGTACCTGAGAAACAAACCTGAAGTTGTCCTCTGGCCTCCACATGAATACACAGGCACACAGATGCACACATACACACACACGCACAAAATGGGCCTGCAAGATGGCTCAGTAGGTAAAGGCTCTTGCCATCGAGCCTGGCAATCTGAGTTCAGTCCCTGGAATCCACATAGTGGAAGGAGAGACTGGACTCCTTCAAGCTGTCTTCTGACCTCCACAGGCACACCTTGGTACTCAGGTGCCCCCCAACAAAAAAAAATTAAATAAAAAATTAAAAAGCAAAATTTCTTTTATTACAACTTTTTATAATAGAGGTTAATTACTCTTCATAAAAATGCTACTTATGTTACATGTCGTGGCTTATTTTATATGAACTAATGAAATAAACTACTGAACTACCAAAATAAAAAATCTCTTTACACTCTTCAGTAATTTTTAAGAATGAACACAGATCCTGAGACCAAGTGTTTCAGTACATTGAGAAGGTTTATTAAGTTTAATGACTTAAAGCTCACTCATTATGTAAGATATTATAATCTTTGTGCCTTTAGAGGCAAGTTAGTATTATAAATATCTAAATCAGTTAAATCAGTTACAGAACATGAGCTAAAAGGAAGTAGTCAGACTGGGGACAAATCAGAGAGAAAAATATGACTAAATGCACAACTGTTTACTTATTTTTTTTTTTTTTTTTTTTTTTTTTGGCCAGGGGTCCCCCTTTTTCCCCAGTTGTCCTAAACCTCATTATGTAGCCCAGGCTGGCCTTGAACCCAAAAAGCCCCCCCTGCCTCTGCCTCCTGAGTGCTGGGATTAAAGGCGTGCACCACCGCCTTTTTGTATGTTTTCTTAAACATACAAAAAAGTAACTTTGTGCTACTCAAAACAAACTTGTGATGTTTTTCCTTTTATTGACAATCTCTGCCTTACATACTTGGTATTCCTAAAATATCTTTTTTTTTTTTTCTTTTTAAAGGAGTTAATCTCGAGCTGGAAATTGGCTTCATTTTAGAAGCATTTGCCTACAAGCATTAAGACCCTAGGTTCAGTTCCTACTACTAAGGAAAGACAGGAAAAAACTTCTTTATTTCCATGCTACTGGGGCTAGAACCCAGGGCCTTTTGCATGCTACATTAGTACTCTACCACAGAGCCACATCCCCAGCTAAGGATACAAGAGGAAATTCTTTCCTAAAGAAAATCAGTTGCAAAGTGAATAATTCTTACAAGAAGCAAATAACCACAGCAATTTCTATATTTGGGTTATAATTATTCAGATGCATTGCTGTTATCTCAAATTTAGTTGTTTGATGTTAAAATCTGGACTTGATTTTTCTAGTGTGTTATACGATTAGTTTTGGTTTCTCATGGTTTTGGTTTCAGCAAATTCTGGACTTGACTGTTGTAGGTTGTCATTCTTTTGGGGGATTGGGATGAACTTCTATATGGAGATAGCAAAGATGCGAGCTGGGAGAAGACTGTGGGCTCACTTAATAGAAAAAATGTTTCAGCCCAAAAACTCCAAGTCTCTTCTTCTAAGAGCACACTGCCAGACATCAGGATGGTCCCTCACTGAGCAGGTATGTCTCAAATTGAAAATATGGAATAACAGCCGGGCTTGGTGGTGCACGCCTTTAATCCCAGCACTCGCGAGGCAGAGGCAGGCAGACCTTTGTGAGTTCAAGGCCAGCCTGGTGTACATAGAGAGTTCCAGGACAGCTGGGGCTACAGGGAGACCCTGTCTGCAGCCTGGTTACATAGAGAGTTCCAGGACAGCTGGGGCTACAGGGAGACCCTGTCTCAATAAAACCAAAAAAAAGAAAGAAAATATGGAATAAGGAATAAGGAAAGTATTTTCTTCTAAGCAACATGGCACAAGAGGAACTGAATTTAACAGCCTGTGTGCTAGTGTTTGAAACACAAAGCTGTCCTCAAGCATAATGCACACCTAGAGTTGAACAAAGTTGGCTCCATGGTTAACAGTATGAAATCATTCACATCTGAACTTGTGCATAGTGCTGTTTTCCTGTCTTAGTATATTAGGTTAGCATACAAAGTAATGGGTTCCCTCCCCCATCTCTTCCCTCCCCTCTGGTTCCTGTTCATCTCCTCTGTGGTCCCTGGTTTGCTTTCTGACCACATGCATCCCATTGTCCTCTCATTAGAAAGCACGGGCTGTAAGTAATCCACCCCCCATCCTCTCTCTAGTTTTATGACCTGCAAACACACTCAGAAATACACACACACATATATATGTAATTTTAAATCTATGCCCCATGCATAAGAGAAAACATGAAGTACTTTTTCTTTGTGTGTAGCTTATTTTACCCAATATATGATTTCTAGTAATCTGTCTATCTATCTGTCTGTCTGTCTTGTGTCTGTCTATATATTTTTTTTACCTGAAAATGTCATGATTTCATTTTTCTTGATGCATAAAATTCCATTGTATATATGTACCATATTTTTTATTCTTTCATCTGTTGATGGACATCTAGGCTTCATTTACTACACTATTGTGAAGAGAACATCAGTAAATATGGGTGTGGGTGTATCTCTGTGCTATGTTGATTTAGAGTCCTTTGTGTGTGTACTTAGCAGCTGGTATAGGTGTATCATATGGTAGTTCTAGCTTTAGGGTTTTTTTTTTTTTTGAGACAGGGTCTCCCTGTAGCCCTAGCTGGCCTGGAACTCATTATGTAAGCCAGGCTGGCCTTGAGCTCATAGAGATCTGCCTGCCTCTGCCTCCTGAGTGCTGGGATTAAAAGCATGCTCCACCATGCTTGACACTAGCTTTAGGTTTTTTAGGAACCTCTACAGTGATTTCCATAGTGACTGTACCAGTTTACATTCCCACCAGCAGTGAGGAAGGGCTTCTCTTTCCCCACATCCTTGCCATATTTGTTGTCATTTTTTTTCTTTTATTTTATAAGTGTTTTGCCTGCATGTATGTACGTGCACCTATGTCATGCAGTGCCCACGGAGGGCAGAAGAGGGCGTCAGATCCCCTAGAACCAGAGTTACAGATGGTTGTTAGCTGCCATGTGGGTGCTGGGAATCGAACCCAGGTCTTCTGCACAAGCAGTCAGTGCTTTTAACTGCTGAGCCATCTCTCTAGCCCCTGAATATTTTTGCATATATTTATTTGTCATTTGTAAATCTTTGGGGGATTGTCTGTCCAGCTCATTACTCCATTTATTGATTGGGTGGTTTGGGTTTTGGCGTTTGATTTTTGTGGTCTTTACAGATCTTTGCTATCATTCTCCTATTTGTGTAGGTGGTAGGGCTTGTTAAATCCCCCGTCCTGCATGCTCTCTCTTTACTCTGGTGGTTGTCTCCTTTGCTATGCAGAAGCCTTTGAATTTCATCTAAGCCTATTTGTCAGTTCTTGGGATTATTTCCTGTGCTAATGCAATGAAAAATTATTTGCCATTTATGAAGAAATTAAAATCTTATTTTAATTAATAATTTTGTGTAAGAAATAAATCAGCATAAAACTGCCTCTTTAAAATTTGATATTATAGGGGCTGGAGAGATGACTCAGCGGTTAAGAGCACTGACTGTTCTTGCAGAGGACCCAGGTTTGAGTCCCAGCACCCACATGGTGGTTAACAGCTGTCCCTAACTCCACTTCCAGGGGATCCAATGCCCTCTTCCTACCTCTGTGGGCATTTCATGACAAGGGTGCACTTACATACATGTAGGCAATATACTCATACCCATAAAATAGACATTTAAAGACTATTACCATTTCAGTAGTGTAATTTTATTCCATTAAAATTGTGTGGTGATAGTCTTCCTTCTATATACATTCATTTTATATGTTCAGTTTCTGTGACACATATAAAGTAATCACAAATTTACAGTTACGTGGCTTTTCTACATTTCAAATTGAATAGCAAAAAACTACTCTCTGCAAATAGGGGAGTAGAGATTCTGAGGTTGGAAGGAACTTTTATAATCCTGTCTGTTTTATAATCTACTGATTTTAGAATTAATAAAACTTGGAAGAAGTCAGTGACTTGCCCACATCCTAGTAGGGATATAATAAACTAGAATCCAAAGCTCCTACCTGAGAGTTTTACTGTTATTCAGTTTTATTTCATATTTCTGTGTACTTGGTACTCATCCGTTATGGTAGATATTCTGAGGTGTCAAAATAATTAAGTGATAGTAAGTTACAAAAAAAAGACTCATCTAAGTACGAAATTATACTTCATGTTATATTTATGTAAGAGTAATCAGTATAAAAGTTGGTACAACAAATGTCTGATATTTGAGAGGAATATAAGACACAAGGCTCTAACACCCACACATGGACTAGACACTGCTCTCTCTTCCAGCCTGCTTATGTGTTTCTCAGTGTTGATTTGACACTGAAGTTTACTGTTCAGCCTATTGCAAATCACTTTGGACATCGGCATAGTTTATATCAGATGCGACTTATTTTGTGTTTTATAACTATGATAGCTAAGAACTGTTTTCCTTGTTTTGTTTTCTTTTTGACGAAATGCTTTAGGATCCTTACAACAACATCGTCCGTACTGCAATAGAAGCAATGGCAGCCGTGTTTGGAGGGACTCAATCTTTGCACACAAATTCTTTTGATGAGGCTTTAGGCTTGCCAACTGTAAAAAGTGCTCGGATTGCCCGAAACACACAAATCATCATTCAGGAAGAATCTGGGATCCCCAAAGTGGCTGATCCTTGGGGAGGGTCCTATATGATGGAATCTCTCACAAATGATGTGTATGAAGCCGCTCTCAAGGTCAGGTTCTCCTCCTTACTGCTTTGCTTATTATAGATTTTTAAAAATCTTTTTATTTAATTTTTAGATTTATACAAAAAAATATAAAACGTTTGTGAGAAAAAAAATTTAGTTTTAATTTTATGGTTTCCAATACTGAAACTCAAATTAAAAACGCAGTTCTTATTTTATGCAGTGTTTCAAAAAACTATTAAATAGCATATACATACACACAGAGAAAACCCAGCATTCCTTTGCCTTCCAGTTCTTATTTTTCTGTTTCCTTAAACTGCAGTCTTTTTCAGTCTCTTTACTTTAATAATTTTTTTGATTTATTTATGTGTATGACTATTTTGCCTGAAAGTGTATAAGTGCACTTGTGTGTGTAATGCCTGTGGAAGCCGGAAGAGGATATCAGATCCCCTAGAACTGGAGTTACGGATAGTTGTTAGATACCATCTGGGTGCTGAGAACTGAACCCAGGTCCTCTGAAAGAGCAATGAGCACTGTTAATTGCTGAGCCATCTCTCCAGCCCCTCACTGTGTGCTTTAAATCTCACATGTAGATGCCCTATATGACTGTGCCTGAATAAAAACAGCCTGGGTCTTAGCATCCATTTTAGCCAAGAGGGCACCCCAGTTGCTCTAAGAATTCTGTTCCTTCAGAATTCTCTCAAAACTGCTCTAGAGAACAAGGGATTTCCTGTCTTTTATTGAAACTGTATATCCATCATGAAATGCTGAAGGAAAAGAGGCACAATCTTAACAGAGGATTATGTCCTTTCTAACCCTACTGACTTAGGACAACACATACACAACCATAAACAGATGTCATCAGTTTAATATAATCTATTTGCAACATAAGTGGGATCATCTGTTGCTTTCAACAAATCTCCAGCTTGCTGTGCTTGATATGCAGAACACCCCCCACCACACACAAACACAGGACCCCTCCCCCACACCAGCATTCATACATTGTTCTGGTTCAAGGGCAAGGAAAGGTCATGAGGAATTAAGACTCTGTTTTAGGTTACAAGAGGAGCACAAGAGTCAATGAGTTTGTCTATGTTATAAACAAGCTAAAATTAATATATGAGTTACAGGGGTAAGTGAGAGTCATTCCTACATGCTTCTTCCAATTTGTTAGCTTTATACATTAGATATAAAACTTCAGACATTGTCAGTTGCTGTCTTGGTGCAGTAATATTTAGGGTTTCAGCTGACTAATACCACTTATTTCCTTTCTCTCTTCTTACCACTATATGTACGTTTCAATTTCTTTCCTGCAGCATTCCAGTGCTCTCATTTGATATGAACTGGTTGCTCTCTATGAGGAATTTAAAACACCAATCCCTTGCTTCTCTGTTGTTTTGAAGTACTTTCAAAGTGGCTTCTTAGAAATGGTTCATGGAGGATGAATTATTTAAAACATGATATGTTTGAAATGTTCTGTTGTCATGCTTCATTAGTAATTTGACTAGATTTGGAATTGTTTCTGTTCAGACTTTTATAAGAACTTTATAAACACTAGTATACTTTTTATTCTCAGTTCTTACAATGAAAACTGTATTCATGTAAGTAAAAATACTTGACAAAAATTTCATGTTTCCAGAATGTAATTTTAGTTTTCGGTTGTCTTTTCAGATAACTTTGAACACACAAATTCTAATTATTTTCCCTTGCATTTGTTTACTTACTTTTAAATAAACTATTAATATTTAGCTTATAATTGGAATAGAATTAGGAATTATACAGTATTCAGGACTAGTTTGAATACTTTAAATGTTTATATTGTCCTTTATGCTTGCTATTTTTTTCTTCCTTTGCATTAGCTCATAAATGAAGTTGAAGAAATGGGTGGAATGGCCAAGGCTGTGGCTGAGGGGATTCCTAAACTTCGAATTGAAGAATGTGCTGCCCGGAGACAAGCTAGAATTGATTCTGGTAAGACAGTGTGCAAAGGTTTATGTGTGAAATTCAGTACTTGAGAAGAAACCTTCGTTTCTGCCTGTAGAGGCCATGCACACATAATGCATGCTAATAAAAAAAAATTAAAAACAAAATAATAATGGAAACATTGAACTTCAGGAAAAAATTTCTCCTATCTATATTTCCACATATCTTTGTATGTCTGTATCTTACATCTTTACATGCGTGGTCTAGGCAAGCATGTATACATGTGTGTATATGTACACCCATCATATGTAATTGGTATGCGTAGGAGTGGATGTGGCCAATGATAGTATTTAGGACTCTTGATCGTCCTCATGCTCTGCAGTGGCGTGTTCAGTCAGTGGGTAGTTTTTTGCTTGCTTGCTTGTCTGGGCATGCAACTGTGAATAGGACAGACTTGAACTCAGTGTGCACAAGTCTTTCATTGAGTAAAAGAGAAAATGAACAAGTAAAGAAACAAAGAAAATACAGATTACTGAAGGAAGTTAGAAGAATAAATAGAGCCTGGGATAGAAATGGTAAGTAATCTTTAGGTAAGAGAAATAATAATTTGAGACCACACATTCCTTATAGTGTAAGAAAGTATATTAATAATATAAATGGATTTTAAACCTATTTGTCTTTTGTTTAAGAGCAATGGCTTTAAGAGAATTCAAGAAAATATTAGAAAAGCTATTGGGCATTAGTAGTCTCTGCCATGTAAACCTCATGGTGACTGTTCTAATTGTTCTGGTTTCTGGTGTTAGAGAAAGGCTTATTGGAAATGCTGGGGAAGTTTGTAGTTTAGGAGAATAATAAAATCCCTTCCATATAGAGATTCTGACATGTAACTTTTCTTTCTCTTTTGCATCTTTGTCTCAGAATGGGATTTATTGATTTGTGCTGAAATTTCATTTTGAGTTAAGAATACCATGTAAAATATTAAATTTGTAAGGAAAATACATGACAACCCAAGCATTATTATTGCAGAATATCTATGAATAGAATCTACATTTTATTTTCCTTTTTGAAATGAGCAGGCTCTGAAGTAATTGTTGGCGTAAATAAGTACCAGTTGGAGAAAGAAGAGTCTGTGGAAGTTCTGGCAATCGATAATACCTCAGTGCGTAAGAAGCAAATTGAAAAACTTAAGAAGGTATAATTAACTGTTATTCATAAGTATTTCCTGAGTTCGGGGCACTAAGTCCTTACATTGTTTACATAGCTTTTATAGCAACCACATGAGGTGAATATTACTTTTCTTGATTTTAAAAAGAAAGAAGAAATTGAAAAACTTGCTTGAAATAATTGGATAATCATGACTCATTCTAGGTCTGTTAAAACTTGAATGTTTTAAACCATGGTATCTGCCTCTGTGAAACTTGCATGTTAGTATTAAAACATATGCTACAGTAATAGCATCTGTATTAGTCACTTTTCTGTTGCTGTGATAGAAACAATGACCCAAGCAGTTTATTGAAGGAAGAGTTTATTTGAGCTTATAGTTCCAGGAGAATTACAGTCTGTCATGGCAGGGAGCCATGGTGGCTGGAAGTGACTGGAGCAGGAGCAGCAGAAGCTAAGCTCTCACATCATCACACAGGCACAGGAAGCAAGAGAGTGACTAGAGATCTTGCAAGGCTTAAGAACTCTGTAAGCCCACCCCCCAGTGATGTGCTTCCTCCGGGATAGCCACATCTTCTAAAACCTCCCAAAACAGCACCATCATCTGGGGACAAAATGTCCAAATACTTGGAGCCTATGGGGGACATTTTCATTCAAACCACCACATTCCTGGCCACCATAGGCTCATGACCATATAAAATGCAAAATGCATTTAGTCCAACTTTAAAAGTCCCCATAGTCATTATCAGTCTCAATACTATTCAAAAGTCAACAGTCCAAAGTCTATTCTGAGGCCCAGGTAAATATCTTAACTGTAGGCCTTTATAAAATCAAAAGACAAATTATATATTCCCAACATAGAGTGGAACTGAATACACATTACCATTACAAAAGGGAGGAATAGAAGCATAGTAAGGAAACACTGGACCAAAATAAGACCGAAAACCAGCAGGACAAACACCAAATCCAGTGGCTCCACATCCAGCTTCTTTGACTTTACTTCCAAAGGGCTTAGATGGCTCAGCCTCTCTAGCTTTGCTGTGAGCAACACACATCTCTCTCTTGTGCTGGTACCACTCCCTGTATGCAGGTCTTCTTGGCAGATGCCTCACAGCTCTGGCATCATGAACTCCTAGGGGTCTCCATTGCCAACCAGGCTTCACCTTCACAGCTTCATGCAATGGCCTATCAGGGCCTTCTCTAGGCAGGGGTACCCCTGCTTCACGCTGCCTGGCCTCCGAGGCTCTCTGAAACATCAGAGGAAAAATCGATGACCCCTTCACTCTTCCATCTTTCATACCTCTAAAGCCAACACCTGGTGAACGACACTGCCAAGTTTGACTGCAAGTTTGGGATGGACTCCAGCTTACTTTATCCATTTTAGAAATTTTTCTCTTCAGTGGTCCCTTCAGTATTTTCCTTTCACAAGTTGGAGGCTTAGCTGGATGTGGTCTTGCCCTGGAGACAGTCTCTCCATTGTTTTAAGTTTGAATCTCTAGGCCCCTCCTTAATCACTTTAATCTCCTTATCAATGGGATCCTCTCCATCACATGCCAGGGATCCAACATTAATTAATCTTCCTAGTGTTCTTTTTCAATCCAAACTGTATTTCTTTTTGCCCCATTTGCTCTCTTTTACTGTAGATTTGCATAATATTCACCATTAATAGCCACACCACCATTTCTACATTAGATTGTCTTGAAATTTCTTCTGCCAGAGAAATTAATCCATGGCTTTTCAACTTCTCCTCAGGTAAGCTTTTTGGCTGTGGGCAGACTCCAGCCAGACTCTTTGCCAAAATATCTCAATTGCTGCTTAAGTCCTTATTTCCCTCTGGAACTACATTGCTCTCAGCACTACTTTCTTCCAGGCCCCTACTAGAATGGCCTTTTAAGCTCCACTTACAGCAGTCAACCACTTTTCTAGCCCAACCTTCTAAAATCTTCCACATTTCTTCAAAACCCCACATGGTCAGGTTATTCACAGCCAACGGCCCACTCTCTGGTACCAGTTACTGTATTAGTCACTTTTCTGTTGCTGTGATAGAAACACTGACCTAAGCAATTTATAGAAGGAAGAGTTTATTTGAGCTTACGGTTCCAGGGGAATTACAGTCCATCATGGCAGGGAGGCATGGTGGTTAGAGGTGGCTGGAGCAGGAGCAGCAGAAGCTAAGCTCTCACATCATCACGCAGGCACAGGAAGCAAGAGAGTGACTGGAGATCTGGCAAGGCTTAAGAACTCTGTAAGCCCACCCCCAGTGACATGCTTCCTCCAGGATAGCCACATCTTCTAAAACCTCCCAAAACAGCACCATCATCTGGGGACAAATGTCCAAACACTTGGAGCCTATGGGGGACATTTTCATTCAAACCACCACAGCATCTTCTGTAATTTGGAGGTTAAACTACAGTATTGAATCTAGGGATTTCACTGTAATTTTTTTCTCCACCAGACCATGGTTCCTGGTACTACTATTAAAGAATGATTTGCATTTTATTTCTTAAAATGTATAATTGCTACTTTGGAAAACATCAGTTTATAAGGAACTTTATTCATTTTGCTCTAGTATGCTGTATGTTATTTTTATTTTTTTAATTATTTAATAACCACATGATTAGAAGAGGCATTTCATTATAGCATTAACATATTAACAGTTTCCAGAGCAAAGATGCATCTCTTTCAACTGTAAATTTTTAGGTTTACAGTTGAATTAATACATTTATACAATATTGTACTCCGTATAAACCCTATAAGACATAAAATTAAATGAGGTTTTAAACTTTAAAAAGATCTAGATCTCCATTAAAATATACTCTTTCATACAGAAAAATTCATTTTTAATGCTACTAACACTTAAATGTTTGCACATACATCTCTAATCTTTATATATCTGATTATTACTAGTCACAGTTGGTTACTTTCTGAGATCCTTGGTACCTGTGCATGGATATAAAGTCATCAGGTAGATTTCAATGGTAATATTTTTCACATCTAATTAACATGAAGCAAATTTTTATGCTTCTTCCTCAAATATAACTCATTTTTATTGATTTTTTTTGTATTTCATACAGAATATCCCAAACAATCTTATTCATCTATATACCCACATCCCAACTGACACCATCCCATGCCCCTTCCTCCTCCCTACTGGAGCCCATATACTCTGTCATCCCTGTTACTGTCCACTGTGTTGTCAGTGCCCCCAGCTGTTCCCCAGTGCT